ACAACTATAAGCCACATGATAAGGAAAGTGTTGTGACCACAAGGTAATATATAGCTATTTCTGGATACAGCTTTCAGATAATACATGTCATCTTGCTCTTATCATTGTTGAATAATAGAACAATGTGACTGATATTTGCGTGTCAACTGAAATTAACTATGAAAGTTGAAACATTGAAAATGACAGAAGAAATCATTTGGGATTAGTTCTTATCAATACTAAGCAGGATTTCTGCACATCTTTTTTCAAAGAAACCTTAACTGCACATTTTGCAAGAAATGTTTAAGGACTAAGTCGGAATCGTTTCCATGGAAACCGGAAAAAATAAAAATGCCAAAAATCTGCAAATAGCAAAAGGCACAACTTAAGGATCTGTTTGATATATCTACCAAGTTTTGTTGAAAAATATTGAACGGTTCTTGAGTTATGCTCGAAAACGAAAAGCAATCCTTACTTTTGAGACTAAGTCCAAAATGTTTCCATGGAAACCGAAAAAAATAAAAATGCCAAAATCTGCAACTACCAAAAGGCACCACTCATGGTTCTGTTTGATATATCTACCAACTTTTGTTGAAAAATATTGAACGGTTCTTGAGTTATGCTCGAAACGAAGCCCACCCCTCACTTTTGGGACTAAGTCGAATCGTTTCCATGGAAACCGGGAAAATATAAAATGCCAAAATCTGCAAATAGCAAAAGGCACAACTTTAGGATCTGTTTGATATATCTACCAAGTTTTGTTGAAAAATATTGAACGGTTCTTGAGTTATGCTCGAAACGAAAAAGCAATCCTTACTTTTGAGACTAAGTCCAAAATGTTTCCATGGAAACCGGGAAAAATAAAATGACAAAAATCTGCAAATACCAAAAGGCACCACTCATGGTTCTGTTTAATTTATCTACCAACTGTTGTTGAAAAATATTGAACGGTTCTTGAGTTATGCTCTCGAAACGGCCCACCCCTCACTTTTGGGACTAAGTCCCAATTGTTTCCATGGAAACCGGAAAAATAAAAATGCCAAAAATCTGTAAATAGCAAAAGGCACCACTTTAGGATCTGTTTGATATATCTACCAAGTTTTGTTGAAAAATATTGAATGGTTCTTGAGTTATGCTCCGGAAACGAAGCCCACCCTTCTTTAAGACTAAGTCCAAAACGTTTCCATGGAAACCGAGAAAAATAAAAATGACAATTATCTGTAAATAGCAAAAGGCACCACCTTAGGTTATGTTTGACATATCTACCAATTTTGGTTAAAAAATATCGAACGGTCTTTGAGTTATGGTCCGGAAACAAAATGATTACGGACGGACGGACGGACGGACAGACGGACGAGGCGACGACTATATCCCACCGCATTATATGCCGGTGGGATAAAAATGCTTAACTATATTTTGTTTCCACTAAGTGAAGATTAACCAAGACAAACTAACACCAGTCACTAACTTCGTAACCTGTACCCAAACAAATTGATTCTGAACCTACAACCTTTAACTTATCTGTAGGCAATTTTCATCTTGAAATATATAAATATGAAGTCTTTCTTAGTTTAATTTGAGAAAACTAGTCTTGTTATATGTACACAGGTATATGAATGACCTCACTGTTTCATGCACTACACATAAGACACTGTTGAAAGAATACCTCACCAAAATGGTTTCCTCTAAACATTGCGTCTGTAGGTACAGGTTAAACAACCAAACCAACTTAAACCATTTCTACAAAATACTGTGTTCAACTTATGTGTATCCTTTGACAAATACTACAGCATTATCATAAGTAGTGATGTTCTGTAATCGAAAATAATTGAAAATCGATTGAAAGAAGGATTAATAATGATTATCGATTGTAAAAACATATTTTCGAGTAATCGGAATTTTGTTGTTTTTGTATAACACCCTTGAATGAAGTAAACTAATACGGGTGAAACGGTATACCACGGTATTAGTAGAACCGCGGTATTTTGCCTTCGCTTCGGTATACCGTAATGCAATCCAAAAATTCATTATTTTCAGGTTTCGTACCGTCATTTTGTTAACCTTTTTAAACCTTTTAAAAAATGTCTGGAAGTCAAACCATTTTGTCAAAATCTATCTAAGTTTGGCTCTAGTTGTCAATTTTCTGCATTGTCATCATATCTCATGTACCGAACCGAACCGGACCAAACTGAACCCCTTGTACCGCAATACGTACCGTACCGTATTAAGAGCTAACGTTTCACCACTATAAACTAATCATCAAATTTGACGAATATTTATGAACAAACATGGGCTCAACAGCGTAAAGCTGTGTACATTGTAAAATTTTAATCACTTTTATTGTTTATTTACAATTCCATTGTCTTACTTGCATGTGTGCATTTCATTGCATGACAGCATTAGTTATAAAAAAAACCCATTAATTAGAAAATTAAAGGGGAAAACCCCTTAAAATTGGTGATTACATTAAAATGGTATATTTATTTAGATTATTATCGATAATCGTTCACCACAATCCTCCGATAATCGATAGTGGATTTGGTTTCCGATTCCCACCACTAATCAAAAGTATGTTTCCATTTGATGTTTGAGATAACTGGTTCAAATATGTGTCCTCAATCAATAGTTTGTTGGCAATGGTGGCAAATATGAAATGTTTGTTTTGCAAAATATACACATAGTTTTTTGTGCTGACAATGAAAATGAATAGATTGTTTGATGTAGTGTTCATGCATAGTTTGTTGGACACAGCTAGAGAAAAGTACCGGTAATTTGTTCTGAAAACATCCTTCCCACTCACAATCCAATGGATGTTCTCTAACAAGTGAAATGTGTAATCGGTATTTTTGGTTTTCGTACCATCATTTCTACCTAATGAAAAAATGACAGTTTTGTTCATTCAAAATAAAAAAGATTATGGCTATATTTGTTCAATGTTATTAAACAACGTAATGTTTGGCTCTTGTTGTTAAGTTTCTGCATTATGCTCATATCACATATACCGGACCAAAACGGACCAAATCGAAGGCTTTGAACCACAATACGTACCGTACCGTTTCACCCCTAACTATAGTTCAAAGGTGTTGTTTAGGACAATGCAATTGACATCACTTGATAAAGATGTAAGACACGCCAAGGTTGCTTGGTACATGAGTTGTCATCCATATATCAAGTCATTCATTTTAGGATTGCATTATGGTATACCAAACCGAAGTTTTCACCCCAACATATAGCATCTTGCTAAATACCGCGGTATACCATTTCACCCCTACATATAGCATCTTGCCAAATACCACGGTATACCATTTCACCCCTACATATAGCATCTTGCCAAATACCACGGTATACCTTGTGTCCTCCACTCTTCAGGCACTCCTGAAGGTACAACAGAAACCAATGGAGCTAATCACTAGTGCAAGAGCGATTCATCAAATAATCGGCCATTATTGCTGGGCTCAGGAGACTAATCGATAATCATAAAAAATAAAACATCAAATAAAACTTTAGATAGCATGTAACTTATTGCTATGTTTGTTATATTATAAGTTGTTCACTGGTCACGAGGGGGGCTTGGTGTACCCTCGATGTTTGTTTATGTTCCCTGAGCCTGGAAGGGCTAGGGGAACATAAACAAACATCGAGGGTACATCAACCCATGGGCCCCGAGGGACCAGTGAACAACGTATTTATCTTACCGAACACCTTAATGTTAATTTTGAACTGTTTGAAGCACGGGTACAAATCTTTTTGTAGCCATCGCTAGATTTTGCTGACAAGAAAAACAGATTTAGAGTTCCATCGATTTTCATTCGCAAAACATCGGTAATTTCCGTACATCATTACGTGATTCAATGTTACTCGAGACAAAGAATTACTACCACGAAGTACAGAATGAGTTGCCATTGACAGCGGGGTACATTGAAATGTTACTCGCTTGTACATGTTGTAAGCAGGGTACATTGAAAATAACAGAAGAGCGCTCAGCCAATCACAAAGCGACATTTATGTGTGAGGTAAGATAACTAGCCTTGTAAAACTGCAATGTAAACAACATACTTGTGTGCGTGTCTCTACCGGAGTGAGCAAGTAGGGTTTTACAACATTTTAGCAATATTGCAGCAATATCACGGCTGGGGACACCAGAAATGGGCTTCACACATTGTAACCATGTGGGTAATTGAACCCAGGTCTTCGGCGATACGAGCCAATGCTTTAAACACTAGGGCCTAACAAAAAGCAATGTTGTGGTTCCGATTACCTGACCGACCCTTGAATTCTGGTGCCGACCCTAATCTTTTTTAGCAGTATGAATAAAATAAGCTACCATCAGATACCATTGTTTTATCCCGTCACCGACGGACATCGGTCACTCTGATAGAGAAAGTTGACATGATGGCCGCAAGCTTGATTGAATAAACAATTACACATTGATAAATGTGTTATTAGTTTGTACTTTATTCTGAAAAAAATGTAAAAAAAAAAAAAAATCCTACCTACCCTAAATTTCAAAGAGGTGTAATCGGAACCACAACATTTTTTTATTTGGCCAAGGCTACCCCGCCGCACCTGTCTCTACTGGAAGTATTCTCCAGCGTTTGATTGCGGTATTAATCCATGTCTGGTTTGTTTGCACATTATTATAATTGTGTCCCGTTATTGCCTACATGAGTTATGTGGAACACTTTACACTCCAAATTTCAATCTGCAAATTGTGAGCGATAACCACCACTACTAATAACTGATAATGAGCTGAGGGTCATCTTCTCCTGTGGAAAGCAGCGACTAAACTTCTACCCAACCTTTTCTCGATGAGGACACGCAGGAGACATATATTTCATGTGGTCATGCCAAATAACTCTTCAAAGTATCTATATCAAACATACAGGAGTGAGTGAGTTTACTTTTATGCCGCTTTTAGCAATATTCACAGCAATATCATGGTGATATCTGAGGTAATTTTCAAGGTGATAGAAGTTTCAGAAATCCTTCATTTTAACAATGAATCAATCCAAACAACCTACCTTGAATCCACCAGATCCTTGGTGTCGCCATTATGAGAGAGACCATTGACGGGTCCAGGAGCTAGGCTGGAACTGCTAGTACCTAAGTCCATCAGGATCCCCGAGTCGGTGGCTGACGGAATTCCAGCTTTGTTCTCCTGCAAGTCACTGACACTAGCACTCTCAGTCGAGTCTTTCACAGCTACATCCAGAGGAAAGTCCTCAATGTGTTCCACCGATCCTTTGCGTCCATCGCTTTTCTCGGACGTGTCGACATCTTTGTCCTCATCACTAGCATCATCGTATCTCAGTTGCTCCTTCACAGAGCTAGTGTCAGTATCACACTTAGAATTGATCACAGTATCAGACCCTTGCTTCCCATTTACCACCAGAGAACTGTCAGTCTTCTTCTCTTCCACTTTCTCTTCATTGCTTCTAGCACCTAGCTTGTTCTTGCCAAGGAGGTTCTGCAGTAATGGCGACTTGAACTTGGGTCTGTCGGAGGAACTACTGGACGATTTGTTTTCCACCAGCTGCTGGAGCAGGGGAGAGCGGAACTTGGGTGTGTCACCTCCATCTTGCCGCTCGGCTTTCTCACTGGGTGTGGAAGGGAGGGGAGATGACCCTCGGGGGGAACTTGGACCGGAGTCAGGTCTGCTGTCTTCAGATGAAATGGTGGTGACGATGTTGGTCACACTACCGGTTGTCGTGACAGTTGTTGTCATGGTTTCCTCAGTGCCGTCTTCGGCTGAACTCTCAGTTGAAGACTCGCCACTCTTGCTGGGGGAGCTGGTGGCTGACTTGGCAGGAGATTGAGTCTGTTGGTATAGATGAAAGAAAGATAAATATTGATAGTTTCGGAAAATTACTGTTCCCAATTGCCGTTTGTGATAAAGTTTTGGAACCAACATAAGGAAATGAGATATGATTACAATATTCTGACCCTATGCTCCAAGGTTTCTGAAAACATATTTCATTAATTCAGTGAGTGGAACCTTCAGACCTAACACTGTACAGCTTGTTCAGCTTGACCTGATCAAGTGAATACTAATGCATTGCGTGACCGAGTCACAACTGGTTGGGTCTACATTGTGAAGGGGTGCACCTTTGTCAGTTGATTATCAACATGTCCGCACAGCCGAGACAAGGTCACCGCTTAACATCTCAGTGTCGAGAAATTGTCAGCAATATCCTAACTTTCTTTAAATAGAAGCTACAGATGGTTTAATGTTTCCGATGCGAGCTTTTAGGCAGAGAGCAGCAACATTAATAACATTCTCTGCTCCCCCATGTAATGAAGTTAACTCGACCTGCCGTTTGTACCATTTGACCTCCCGGGTCATGCATATGTAGAGTAGCTCAGGTCAAGCTGAACAAGCTGTTAGTCAACCTAATGGTTGATGAAAGCGACAAGAACAAAGACAATTACAATTTGAGTAAAACCGATATACATAAATATGGTGCTGAGAGGCCAAGGAACACAAAGCAAGGTAAATCAGGGAATTCAACACACACTATCAGCTGATCCTCCCTTGGCTAGGGGAGACAACTCTATAACTTCAACCACAGGGCCATAACTCCACTTGATACACAACTTTGTCTAAAGAAAACACACCTCGCAGAAACTATACTATGTATACTGAAAACTTTGTTTAAATCTGATGTGAAAGTTAAGGATTGTCATCTTCAGCAGCTTATACCCGTGAAGATTTGGTCTTCAGTAACCCATGCTTGTTGTAAGAGGCCACTAACGGACTGGGCGGTTAGGCTTGCTGACTTGGTTGACATATGTCATCGTATCCAAGATATGTAGATTGACGCTCATGATGTTAAAACACTAGATCATCTGGTCCAGACTAGACTATTTACTAGTGGTGGTCCGATTAATTGAAATAATCGAAGATTGGTCGCAATGACAAACGACCAAGCAATCGATCATGTTTTCTCATAATCGAACACAAACAATTTTGGACCGCTTGTTTGCAATAACAATATTTTGCAAAAGGTTGATTTTGTCTCGACATTGCATAAGCAATACAAGCTCGTTCCAAGTCATGATTAAGTTTATCTTAACAACTCCAGGAAATGTATGTTCCTAACACACTAGTCATCCTTTAAAGATGTGAAATTTGCAAATGCATTTTGTGCAATTTGCGAAAAGAAACGAGAGAACTACATCTTTTTTCTTTATTTTTTGTGCATTAACAAACATAACCAGGAAAATTTGATAAATGACGCTAACCAATTATTTTCGATGATTGATCGGTTGTAATGAACCAATCATCAATAATGAGATTTACACCAATTCCCAACACTACTATTTACAGACCGCCGCCATACAGCTGGAACATTGCTGAGTGAGGCATCAAACAACAAACAAAGCAACAACTTCAGCAACAAACTTCAGCAACAACTTCAGCAACCTACCTTGGGTGATTCACTTCCATCAGTCTTCACTCTCTTCATGATCATCTCCAGACGCTGGAATAATGCGAAACAATTAGATCCAATGTCATGATCAACAAGGGTGTAAATACATCACACTGGGATAGTAAATGTCATTGGGCACTTTCAAAGGGAAGAATGATTTACTGAATGTTGTATTACGCTGTTGTCAGGAATATTCTGGCATATCAAGGTGTCGATACTGTGAGGTTCAGGTTTTACATCATAGTCAAGATTATTGCACTTATATAGTGATGAGCATGCACATGTATGTGTCTGTGTAGCTGCTTGGACTAGTGTGAAGTAAGGACAGCATTTAGTGCTAAGCAACCGACATACCATGCTGCAGTTTAACACGAGTGAGTGAGTTTAGTTTTACGCTTTTAAAACAATATTCCAGCAATATCATGGCAGGAGACACCAGAAATGGGCTTCATACATTGTACCCATGTGGGGAATTGAACCCGGGCCTTTTGTGTGACGAGTGAAAGCTTTAACCACTGGGCTACCCCACGCCCCAGTTTAACATGAATAACAACAAAGAGACAACAACTGACTCAAAGAGTCGACCAGTGCTTGTTTTGTCCTCTCAACAAAACAAGGCAGGTTAACAACAATTACCATGTTCTATCATCTTTTAGTATGGCATGGATTCAGATCAAGACCCACATCTACAGCTCTCCAGGAAGAACCCCTCTGACACAAATACTATGCTTAAGGACAGATGGATATCTATGGATCCTGACACACTATTAGGCAAGTTATGTGACCACCTAACTCCCTGTTCAGTTTTCACAACTTCCAGGTTCTCAGTACCCATCCTGTTAGGTGAGGTGAGGTGAAATTGGGTTTAACGTCGTGCTCGAGAATATTTCGTTCATATGACGACATGCATGCATGTGTATGTGTATGTGCGGCTGCTTGTACTAGCCCAGAATGAAGCTGGTTTTATAGTGCTAGCACATTGAGATACCATGCCGCAGTGAAGCATGAATACCCCACTCAGACACATTATACTGACCCTAATTCTCGAAACGTTCGTAACCCTAAGAATTCTTAACTTTGATCGTAGCCAATGTGTTAAGAATGGGCTTAAGACGTTCGTAGGGCTACGAACGTTTCGAGATTAGCTAGCCAGTCCTTGTTATACCCATTAATGCCGAACGCCAGGCAGGGACCAACAAGTACCATATTCTAACGTCTTTTGGTATGACTTGGTCAGGGATCGAACCCGCGACCTTCCGCTCACCGGGCGGACGCTCTAACCACTACACCACGGAGGCGGTCCATCCTGTTAGGGACCTCATGTGACATACCTTCTTCCTCTCCTGGCGTTCTTCCTCCTCCTTCTTCATCCTCTCCTGTCTCTCCTTCTCCTGTCTCTCAGACTCTTCCTTGGCTCGCTGCTCGGCCTCTTCTTTCTGTTATTGAGAGGGTTCATCACAGTGAGATCTTACAGAACACAAATTTGAAGCTGTTCTCAAATGTATGCAGAACACAGAATCTAGTCATAGCGCATGCTTCAGCTAAAACAAGTCATGTTTCAGGGCGGTAGTGATGAGTCAGTCAGTCAGGTCTGGGCCCCGTTCCTCAAAGCGATCGTATGCTTTAACATAGACTTACAACTTTCAAGTTTCGTAGAGCTACGATCGCTTTGAGGAACGGGGCCCTGGACAATTACTATTCTGATAAACCTACAAGTTGAGTGCTGACAAACCAAGTGGGATAATCCTTCCACCTGTGTGAACAGGTATTTGTCTTCACAATTCTCAATACAATTCCTGCTTCCTAAAGTATGGAATATTCTCAAGCCTGTATGCTCCAGGCCAAACATGGCCATCAGCCTGGTAGTGTGAGATGTAATATTTGGTGAGGACAAGGACTTTAGAGACTTTCTTTTCAACTAATAACGATGGAATATTCTCATTTCTATGTAATGTCAGAAAATAGTGTCACTATCTGCTTATCCAATTCCCAAGTGCCATTTTAAACGTCTTGGCAAACCCACTAAATCACTTATAGAAATATAACGAACATGGGACTTGTGGCATTTCAGACATGGAATTTATTTACCCCTCACTATTATGTACACTATGATATGTAAAGGTGTTGGGGGTTTGTTCTCCAGTATAGCAGATATGGGTCAGGGTAGCCCAGGGGTGGAAATAACCCATTGCCAGATGTCCGAGTCCAGTGTTTTTTTCTGTCGGGCAAGCAAATTTGTATATCACACTGTACCGGGGTCCAGTTGACTTTCCAATGTTAATTATGTTGTTTATTTTAAAAATTCAACAAGAAAACGGCTGGTATAGTGGAAAAATTATCAGGGCAAGTGATTTTACATGTGCCCCTGTTCCGGGGTACACTAGCAATTTTAAAGTTATTTCCACCCCTGTAGCCTAGTAGTTACGCATTTGCATCCTGATCTGACTTATCATCACAACAAATACATATGTTCTACTCCCCAGATAGGTACAGTGTGTAAACCTATATATATACATATAACGGTCCAATGACACTCAATAAGTGAGTGAGTTTGTTCTTACACCACTTTTAGCAATATTCCAGCAATATCATGGGGATATCAGAAATAAGCTTCACACATTGTACCCATGTGGGGAATTGAACGCAGGTCTTCGACCTGACAAGCGAACGCTTTACCACACGGCTACCCAACCCCGCCCCATGATATTCAAATCTTCAAGAGGTGAACATAATTGGGTAAATGAGGGATTGAAAGCAGAAGTAGTCTCAAACTTGTATTTACAGCGATTCTCTCCTGTTCCAGCCTCTCTGCCTCCTCCTTCTTGCGAGACTCTTCAGCCTCGATGGCCTTCCTGAGTCTCTCTTCCTCAGCCCTGCGAGCGTCCTCAGCTAGGCTCAAAGACTCTTCCTCCTGGCGACACTGCTCCTCTTCCTCCGCCTTCATACGTGCTTCCTCTGCCAGTCTGCACAAGAAGATGATATACTGTAGCTTAACACACACACTGAAGCTGAATTATCTTGGCAACAATCCCAACATATGTTAAATCCTCTTCTTCCTTAAACCTTAGTCTGGATTTTGTGAATAATTAGCATCAGAATTGTAAAATGAAACAACCACACATTTGTGGTAATGAAAATTGTGAGTGGATTTTGTTATGCTTATTAACATTATTACATACTGTTATCAAACAGTTTCCTTATTGATAGTGATGTAATCTATGTGCCCTTGAATCTTAAACCTCTACATCTCTCTATAGTGATGTAATCTATGTGCCCTTGAATCTTAAACCTCTACATCTCTCTATAAGCTTGACTGACTCATGGAAGCACTCCTATGGTTCTCACTCACAATGTCAAGTTGAAACGCTCGCTTTACATTACCATTTTAGCAATCCATCAAACATCAACATGAGGGAAGAGGAACTGAGCAAGGGAGGTAACTTGCATTGCCTAGAGACCAATGCCACAGTCTTTATGGACATGAAGATAAACTTTACATCAAATGATTTTCTGAGGGTTTTCGCATATCAGTCAGTTTCTCAATGTAGAAACTCTTGCAAACTCTATCGTTATAATATAATAATAATGTCCACTTGTATGGCGTTATGAATGGGTCTGGCCTCCGTGTTGTTGACATTGCAAATCAAACAATGAGGCTGGTTTGTAAACTGCATTCTGATTGGTCCGCTAGAAGGAGTAGTCAAGCAAATTAGATTAATAAAAATCATGATTATTAGAACCATGGGAGTCTATCCAAAATACAAGTGTAGGCATGCCAAACTGTGAACTCTGGAGATAAGAGGACGAAAAGAATATATGTTTCTAATGAATGAATTAATCCTCAATTAAAAGTCCAAAAGTTAAAAAAATCTTACTAATGTTATCAAATACTAAAAAGGCAATACCAATACACACAATCAACTTCACATTAATATAAATTTACACTATTTTTCAGTTCTTCTTTCACAAACTTCAATAGAAAATAAAAAATTCTACACAAGAAATTTATATCTGTTATATGGGTAAAAGAACAATTTAGCTATGGTTGGAACAAACAAATCTAAGCACAGGCCACTTATCCATGAACAATTGAGCATTTTTTTTAGTGACTAGCGAAGAATCACACAATCTGAGTTATGTACCCTACCTTTCTTCTTCAAGCCTCTGTCTCTCAATCTCAGCTTCCTTCTCAGCCTTCTCCCTTGCCTGACGTCGTTTCTCAGCAAGCTTGGCTTTGTACTCCTCCACAGAGATGTCCTGGGTGGACTTGGACATACTGGACATGTCCACTGACTTGGACATGATGTCCGGTGTGGGTTTGGATGAGATGTCCATCACTGACCGGGACATGGCCTCGTGGGCTGATCGAGACATGGCAGCCTTGTCATCCTCTATCACAACCTGTGGGGCTCCAACAGGTGCCTCCTTAGACTTGTCCTTCAGTATTGGCTTTGAAGGCAGCTGAAACAGTTAATAGCACGTTATAGTATTTGACGATTCAGATCAGAATACTGTGTGCCCTGCTGAAACACCTAAATTTTCATAAATTACATCAAATTTTCGTTTTAAAAAATGTTTCTTGAAGTTTTAGGCTGAAAAATAATTTTTTGGCAAATGTACCCCATAAGCATATTAGGAGATTTTCTTGGAATACACATGATGTCATGGAAACAGATTTATTAGATCATGCAGAATTTCCTTGTCAAACTCTTTACTTTGCAGTTGTAAAGTTTGAAAATACGAAATGAGATTTGAAAAGAAAACTCACTTCTACAAATTGTTAAAAAAAGAATTCTGAACATAAAGTGCACAAAGATTAATATTTGACCTGTAAATTAACTAAGGGTTAGTAAAAGCTATTAATTGTATGAGAATACAAACGAACGTGAGAACGTAGTGGTATGGTGGCGATGTTTGGTGAGACACAAACACTCAATAGTCCACAACCTAAGATTTAACCTACCTTGATTAATAACAGTTGCAAAACTAATGTATTGTTACAATTCAGATACTTCAGATAGTTCCAGATTTGGATACTGAAATGTCTTAGTATTACTGAAACGTCGAGGTAAAGAGCTTGTGCTTTTCAGTTATTTTGTATTAGACTGACTGAGTTTAGTTTTACACCGCTTTTAGCAATATTCCAGCAACATCACGGCGGGGGACACCAGAAATGGGCTTCACACATTGTACCCATGGGGGATTCACCCATGTTCAGCGTGACATGTGGGGAATTTTAACTAGGGCTACCCCAATCGCCCCACTTATATTGGAAGCTTTAACCACTAGGCTACCCCATTGCACCATTCTGGATATTGTTACAGGAGTGTCTAGATTCTTGATCATTAGCTCTAACACAGCCTATTGCACGATTTTATTCTGGACTGATTGTTACAGGACTGTTGTCACTCTTCATAGTCCCAGTCATATTTTACTTTGTGATGACTCCAAAACTGGCCATTTCATGATCTTCAGACGTAATGGTTCATGTTGATATTATGGCAATAAAGATCCATTATTAATGGGAGATAAGAATCATGCAATATCATTTTTTCTAACAGAAAATTTAATGAAAATGTATGATTTTGTTTCAAAAGTGCCTTTATGAAATATTTAGTTTTAAATGCTTGTTTTAAAAATGATTGATTACGGTCACAAAGGATATATAATTATATACATAAACATATACACACATACAGGTGAAAGATAACCTAGCAAGTTGCCAGGTATTGGTTCGATTATGGGTATATTTCCAATATATACATGTTCTTATACAAGGGTTACAGTACCCGGGTACACCTGAATACACATCTATCTACAGATACAACATAAACAGTGCCACCACAGATACTGAACATCTAGGATACAACATAACAACATCTGGCTGAACCTTGTGCTGTAACACATGCACCAAACCTGGAAACATCACACTATGCTCGTCCAAGGCTAAGTAATAATGTTCCGACAACAGGAGCATAAGTTTCATTTTTTTTTCTTTTTTCGAAAGTCAATATCTTATCTATGGGAATTAACTTTCATTTTAGACTAAACAGGAACTTGTTCCCAAAGTTTAAAAATGTTACTGTATACAATATTTGATCATTGTTGTTTACCGGTCGATACCATTGGTTGGTTTGTTGAATGACGCACTCAAATATTCCAGCTATATGGTGACAGTGTGTAAACAATCAAGTCTGCTCCAGACAATCCAGTGATCAACAGCATGAGCATGTATCTACAGTTGAGATACAATGACATGGGTCAGCCAGCCTGACCACCTGACCCCGTTAGTCACCTCTTACGACAAGCCTGGGTTGCTGGAGACCTATTCTTATCGGATCTTCAGGAGTCCACAATGACTTGTTTATGGTTTTCATAAGTGTTCCCCCCAGCCCCAGGTTAACGCATTAGATATTTAACAGGGCGATAATGATATACATGGGAGTTATTTATAACTAGATCTACATTACTGTCTATCTATAGGCGAGTCAGCTTGAAGCAAAAGATCTGTGACTACTTAGTGTACTATAATTCAGCGCTAGTGTTCATCAGGTCCAAGTTTTAGTGTACTATAATTCAGCGCTAGTGTTCATCAGGTCCAAGTTTTAGTGTACTATAATTCAGCGCTAGTGTTCATCAGGTCCAAGTTTTAGTGTACTATCAGGTCATCAGGTCCAAGTTTTAGTGTACTATAATTCAGCGCTAGTGTTCATCAGGTCCAAGTTTTAGTGTACTATAATTCAGCGCTAGTGTTCATCAGGTCCAAGTTTTAGTGTACTATAATTCAGCGCTAGTGTTCATCAGGTCCAAGTTTTCCATTGCAAGTTACAGCTATCAAGAACAACATTCAGCTATTTTATTTCTGTACCATCCAGACCTGTCTCTCCAGGCGTCAGTAAAGGAGAATTACAAAATGTCCCATAGCTCACAGACACCATTGGCCTATCTCCGATACTTATCACTTGTGACAGCAGACAAGTCATGACACACAAAACCAACCATATCAATTACACAGGATTAGTTTGTTGATGAAGCTGTCATCCTTTCACTACCAGTGTATGTACTCTTGTGACGGTATTGCCACCATAAAAAGCTGCAAGATTGATGGTGCAGGTCTAGACAATAATTCCTAATTCAGGACACACATTGTCATACAACAGTATTGCAATTTGGTTCAGCTGAAATTGAAGTATGTCCTTAACTGCGCTTTTCAAATGTAGGATTTAAACCCTAGTTTACTATCTGTTACATAAGTCCACATTTATTACATATTGGTAACATTGAGTTCCTTCAAGCAATATATCACTGCAGCCTGTCTATACTTGAGTCTGGATCAAACAACCAATGGTTGATATTAAGAGCACTTCCCCAAACTGATGGGTATGCTAACACGCCATCAACCATGTCACAGAGTCTTATCGCTGAATCAGCTGCTTCCTCATTGGAGAAGCATAGGTTACAGGTTAACATTCTAACCAAATCTTCACATAGCAGGCAATGTCAGACATATCAAGAATTTGATGCCTTCATGTGTTGAAAAGTATCAGATCTTCTACAAACAAACACAATGACCAGATCCAGTCACCTCATGATAAGAATGTTCCGATACCTAACACTGACCGTTTTCCTGAAAATGACCTAGAAGAGAAAAAGTGTTTGCAGTGTTGGAGAAATGACTCAGATTTATCCTACAAGCAGCCTATAATCTCAAGCGTGACATAACTCAAGCAAGATAATCCAATGCCTGAAATGAAACAAGTGTATTAGAACAAAACTAAACTTTCAGCAAACTCAAATACAGAATGAAAAGGATAGTGCCAAATGTCAACCTGGACCCAATAGCGATCATAAGGCCAACACGATCGTACTTCCATACAGAGTTATGAGAGCTTGGCACTAAGGATGCTTTTTGTCAGGGCTGTTAACAAGGACCTTCTCAGTATTGCAGTATCCTGTTCATTCGTGTAGTAAAACAGGGAAAGGAAATCATGACGAAACTTTAACCTCATTCAAATATATGGCACAAAAGAACTTTAAGAACACGAAATTATTTCATATTACTATCTATCATAGCAATATGAATGACTTGACTGTTCCTTACTTTCTTTTGACCAGTATTATTATATATAAAAAGAAATACGATTTTAACTTGAAAGTAATTTTTGTTTTGTTGCAACTCAAATCCAATTTGTTAAACTTTTTTATCCACTGCGTTAAATGGCTATTCAGTCTTTGAAAAGAGGCATGAAGGTTATTGTCAAAACTGAAATGTTCAATGTTAAGCATTTACAGGTCTTGAAATTGAAATACTATGGGAGCAGAGCTACAATATCTCAGGATCCTTGTAATTTTGAAACACTGGTTATTTCTTTATAGGATATACAAGTGTTGAGTAATTGTTGCTATTGCTGAAAGCACTATTTGATTTTCTTGAGGCCAAAGAGGATCTGTGATTTCATCATGACATCCTTCCTCTGTAGGATTATAAGATACAGATACACAGACAATATGTTGCGAAGCGTGCAAGCAATGGTGCATGCAAAACACAAACCTTTCTTGCACCAGTGGCAAGATTTGTGGTGGACAAAGATTTTCTAGGCGACAATCGTGTTCTAGGCGACTTCTGTAACATGACGTATGCAGGAGGTTCATACGGCAAATCAGAAAACTAGCAGATGCAGTCAACTCAACGATCAGGGCATGACGCATTAACATCTCTCGACAGATTACATTCCATGTTGACACATGCATTCAGTCCATTCACAAAAGCAATTCAGAAGCGATTTTATTTGACAAAACTTTAAATACCTCGGCCATGCACCTATCTTCCTCGAGGAAAATTTCAACACTTGAACCCAGTGACCAAGTGGTCCATTCCTGAACATATGACCATGCTTGCCATACGCATACTAGTATGTTCTGTCATGCGAGGTTCAAGTTCTTCATGCAGGCCCTGCTAAAAATTGATCTTAAAAGCTAAAAATGTAAGCATCAACCAGGGGTTCAAAGCTGGGAAAGCTTTTTTTAAAACTCAAGGCATGAGTTCCAAAAGAACATAGCAATAATGATATAATACAGTCTGTAATTTTAGCCACTGTTAAGAAGCTTGAGTCGCGTAAAATTTTGTTTGGTCAAGTAACCTCTGGTAACATTATCAAAATTATGCTAAGAGACATAATCTGGCAAGAAGACCAAGATTTTGGTACCAACTGTGACAGTAGTTTGAATTGAGTTATTTTCTACAGACTGATATCGATAAAAATGAAGAAAAGGGAATCCTATTGCTTTCTGACCAGTGTCCTTGTAATTCAGTTTCTTTTCCAACTGACAAAATACAAAATATGCCTTCTTCAGACTGACTGACAATATTCCAGCAACATCACTGCGGGGAACACCAGAAATGGGCTTCACACCTGCTTCAGAAAGACTGTCAGCAGCTGTATCATGTTTGGGCTTTCCTCTGACATTAAGTTGACATGATATAACGGGAGTAATGTCAAAACTGGCAATAAACCCAACTCACTCACTCACTCATAAAGTATCAGTTCAGCACTACAGCAAACACACACAAGCTGACAGTATATACTTACAACAATCAATAAGTAAATTACTTGCAGAATGGAAACCAACTTTTGTTACGAAAAATTGAAAAATGCACTATTTAATTCTAAATCTCTGCTACAACTGCACAAACATCAACATCGAGTGCATCATGACGTAGCAAGCAACATCAACACCCACCTTAGGAGCGGGAGTTCCTTCAGCCTTGGCCTCAGCTTCTGGTTTCTCTCGAATTTGTTTCGGCTGAGACAGTCTGTCAATTGACCGACGATTCATCTTGAGAGCTTGTTTCTTCTCTGCATCTGTCCCATTTTCTTTCTTCTCTTCCTCCTTCTTTCTCTCCATGATTTGACTGCCTAAAGACTTCCGAGGAGTTCTATTAGGTTTGTCTGCTGACGAGCAAGAGGTTCTTAGTTACAGAACCAGAAACGGCAATACTGATGTCAATTTGCAACTGAACGCTTTAAAAGGTGAGTGAAAAAGTCTAGAAAATACTAGTATATAAAGAACTAGAAGGCAAGAGGCAGCTACAACAATGGGACCATTTCATTCAAAAATGCTAACTTTTGTTCGAAACTACATTTCAATTTCCTGAGGAACATCACGTCATGTCCCAAAGTGTCTAAATGCAACTGCCAAAAAATGTGGCCTTGTTGACAAAACGAAGATAACAAATAGTATCCCAAAACCAATACTACATCTACAACATCATTACAGACATATACAGTAACTATGGGAACACAATCTACGAGCATCGGCAACTTTGAAGCAGAGGACATATTGTTTTCAAAATGGATGATGATGGCCATTATCAGGGGAGACAACTTTTAAAGTACTAGCTGCCCTTGGACAGAATGAGTAGGTTGTAACTATAATTCAAATAGGTTAGATAACAAGAAGAAAAGGTTAAAGTTAGGTAGAACCAGATCCCTAAAACTGAATGTTATTACAAAAAGAAACATCTTCTCCAAAACCTGGTGGACCCATAGTAAATATTTGTTGGTCCATTTGCCTCTCTCTGACGAATCAATAATCAGAACTTGCCATGTTATCAAACATCTTTTGCTGCAACTGCAGGTGGTTTTCTTGTCATGCAAAATGAAACTCTTTTATTCAAGCTTACATAGCTCCATTACAGAAACCCTCTTATTGAAAAGAATCCATTTCTGGGTACATGCAATACAATTCACTACCAGTTTAACTGTAAATAAGCAGAGAGGTTTTTCTTATCCAATACGGAAAGTCAATTGAGAGGATGATTTTTCTTTAAAAATTCAAAACTGTTTTGACTGAGTATGAGTGGATAAAACTGGTCTCAAATGGATGCTTCGAATGAACCAAAGACAAGTAAATGAAAGTGTCATCTGAAATCTCTCTCTTTTCAAGTAGATCAATCCCTGCATTGATCATTATACATGGATTCAAATCCATCGTTTTCAGTTGGCTTATCCTTTTGTGAAGCCTGTATGCAAGAAGACCTATTACCTCTAGAGAGCCTGTCAGTGCTCTTGCTCCGTGGGGATGCCTGGTTGGGTATCTCCACACGCATAAAGCTGGGCATACTGCTAGCAATACTGGCCGGACGTGGCTTACGAGGTTTCTGCTCTCTCAGGCGAACTGAGTTAAGGCCCACTGTACTCTTTGGACGTTGAGGCGGAGGATTGCTGGATGCTAGAATAGATCGACGACCCTCTGGGATGGCGTTGAGAGCTGGGGGGGAGAGGGCAGGGCAGGGGAGGAGGGAGGGAGAGAGAAACAACAGGTGAATTTTGTGTCAGTAAGACAAGTACAGACGAACCCTTCACCATTGTCAGTTGTCGGATGATCATGTGATGAGAAATGAGAGCTGGAAAAGCATGTGCAACTAACTGATGACGTGAAATTGTGATGCACATGTCAAAGTGACGTCAACAATGTCAATCACAGAATCAACTACTAAGATTAATGACAACAATGAAAGGTGACAAGAATGCAGAACTGAGGTGTAAAGCACTTAGGTAAAGAATCTGATTTGCAGTTTTTCCCATCATTTAACCAATGAGAGTTCTTTTACTTCTTTTAAAACAATGGGGTTTATATTCATTATTGTCATTTCAGAAACAGTAATATCAGAGCTGGAAGTGGGACCACTTGTTTGATAAAGGCACTAAACATTCAACCAAATGTCACATTGTCAGAAAATCTGTCAGGTTTCTCCAAATATAACAGTCACATTATCTGACAATCACGAGTACATTTGTCTTGTTTTAAAATTTTCAATATCTAACCATGCCATTGACATGATGGAGGAATAGAATAGATTGAAATTCCTAAGGATGACTTGTATCACTTCAGTTTTGCAAGAATGATGAAAAAACACAACAAAAAGGTAAGCTCATGAGATGAATTAGGAAAGTGATCTAATCTCTACATCTACAGATTCTAATTTCATTTCAATCTTCAATTTACGACAACATATACAAACAAAGAACAAAATGCACTTTAACATTCTTCATCAACTAACAGAAAATCCTTGCATCATTTACTATTATGCAACCTCATGCATGTCAGCGCACATTCCTTTGAAAACCATATCTGGGGAAGTTGTCACATGCATATCAAGGTTTTAGAGCTTAATGGGAAAATTCATTGATGCCTTGTGAGCAAGTATGTTAATACAATTATGATAGAACAGCTTTACACCATGTAGCATCAATACAGGTAGGCAGAGTTATCTTTCCTTGCAAGGATCCCCATGGCAACTGTTTCAAGCTTTCAGGGCCTCGTGTAATATTTATGAGATACAACACCCAGATAACTTTGTCAGGAAATAAATTGTATTTTCCTTGTGAAAGACCAGGCCCTGATTTCTCGAAACAAACTTAAGTCTGAGTTTTGACTTAAGTTCGAATTTTTACTCAAATCTGAGAAAAAATTTCCCTAAATTTTAAGACACTAAATCTGCTGCCTGACTTTTTAATCACTCAAATATCAATTTGTCAACTCTTATAACAAACAGGGATCTGGGCACCTACTCTGACCATGGGTTGATCCAGGTATGCTTATTTTGCATATTTCTTATTACACACCCTATATTCCAGGTAAGTGACGGCTGTCTGAATGATTAAGTATGGTCCAGACAAAACAGTGGTTGACATCATGAGCACCAGTCCACAATCCTGAGACCACGACGACATGAGGCACCACGAGTCTGACCATACAATCATAGGCTGCTGGGGGCACCAATTTTGAAATATGATCCCAACTGAGGTCTAACTTCAAGTTGCAAACGGGTCTCAAGGGGGCATATTTCAAAACTGTCTCTATTTCTTCCTTGATCATAACTAAATTTAAATGAAATCTAAAGACCAAAAAAATATTAAAAAACACAAAAACGACAATGAAGAAATGAAAATAGACACAAAACAACAAAAAGCCTGTCAAGGTTAGTTATTGAAAAGAAATAGAAAATAAGAACATGAAACATTCCTCTGTGTAACTCAGAGGAACAAAACAAAAGCATCTTACCCAACAAAGAATCTGGTCTGTTGTTAAGCATACCCGAAGAAGCAAAGTCTGGGTTTCGTTTGTGATAAAGCACACTCATGGAGACCGACAAATGCTTGGAAGGGGGGTTCTCACCAGGGCAAGGTCCTACAGTAACAAGCAAGCAAAATGCACCACCATGCCTGCCATGTGTTCTAGGCACATGGCAATCTACACCTGTCACAGACCGCATGAGCATGTTATGAAATGCAATGAGCACAACCCGTGTCGCAATAGACAAAGATGTGATGAGAAGACTTGTTTCATTGTGATAAACAGTCGAAATTAACAAGCATCTGTGAAATTGTTTAAAGCAAAGGAAAGTTACCGTATATATAAATGCAAGAGCTCAATAAGGACAAGAAATGAGCACAAACCACCCATATTATATGACTGTCCCCATAAAAATAATGCACGTCGAAAGATTTGTTTGCAAAAAGCTGGCGGAGTTTTATCTACCTGAAATATAAAAGGTGTTCAAAGGGGTGAGGAAATATATTACAGACCTTTGCGGGATCTTTTCTTGTAAAGAGCTAGGAAACACAAGGACAAGCGTAAGAAGCAATTCGGTATCCAGGGGAGATAACTGTTGCTGATACTGTGTCCAAGTTTACTGAAACTACTTTTATTTTTAACCTGAATCCTTTATCCATAAACATAAACCTGGTCGTGGAACACAATAATCCAATCCTACAATTGTTAAAAAAATTCACTGCAAATGTGAAGGAATGTGTTTTATGTGGAGCAAGAAGAGTTACTGAATATCTTGCATAAACGTGAACAAAGCTGGTATAAGGATTAGACAAATATTCTCACTTGCTGCTTAGCGGAAATTAGTGCTTGTATGAGAGGGTAAGCTTCTGAATGTGAAGGGTACCTGCTTCACTAATGTCACAATGAAACAAGTCTCAGTTTCTAGTTTCTAGAGTCTATCGTTAAAAATCTGATTTATAAAAATGAGTCTGGTGTTGCATGAAAAAGCCACGGATCATTATATTAGCAAGCATTTTTAGAAAAGAAAATATGATCATTATGTAAAGGATCTTTTGTCACAGTGCTTAGAATTTGTAAAAAATATTTTCAGCATTTCATAACATTCACATGCAGAAGAAAGAGTTCAAATCAACTGCATCACATTTAATCACATTCGTTAAAATGTAAATCAAGCGATTTATTCTTTATCCAGTTAGCACGTACAGGAAATGGTTAAGTCGTCCCATTCAAGGAATGACATCAATGCCAAACCATGCTCCAGAAATTACAGGCGAACTTAATAATGGAAATGCATCTGTTACCAATATTCACATTCAAAATGCATATAGGTCCAGAAGGTGCATTCAAGGCAATTAACAGTACCTGCATGCTTGGTGCAGTATATGGATAATTGCAGCAGAATGGCTGTTTGCAAGAGCGTGAGTAACCCTTTAGTATAGGACCAATCACTGCACTAAGATTAGTCCAAGATTTGGCTGAAGACTCGTACAATGCATTCATGTCTTTGTAAAATACACAGATCTGTGCCATCTGTGTAGTTTCAAGGACTGTAATGATTTCTTGTAGTATCTATAATACACTGCAGCACAATATGATCATCACATTATGTACTGAAAGCTACATAGCACTATATGTATATGTACCAATGTTGGACGTCAATGCTTCCATTAGATCACATACTGTCTAGTTTGGGGATGGTGTGGGCTTGCTGACAGTTCCATAATCTTCATGAAAAATAGAATGAATCTTGTTTTCAATCCCTTTCATTCATTTACATCAGTTTCAGAAGTCGCCACTTAATGAAGCCCAGCCAAATAAAATTGATCTTGGTCTGGTTGTTTTGCCGACAATAGACCATGTGATCAAATCAGAACTTAATTATGACAGTTCCTGTTTCAGTGCCAGTAAGCTCAACTGATAGGGCGTCAACAAACCCCAACACTTCTTCTTTAAGAATTAAGTATATTTAAGTTTATTTAAGAAATTCAGTTTGTGCTACGGCAAGTATAGTGTGATAAAGTACAATTTTGCCCTGAACAATTACAGTCAAAGCACAAGGAAGCATCTTACAATATATGAGTTGCAAGCTTGATACAAGTATCATAACGCAGCCTGTGACTGAAGCCACTAGTCTGTAGCCCGAGTTTTAAATTTTTTCCCAGTCTCATAAACTGTACGAAAGTATGCACATTAAGACTAACCTCTCCTGACAATTGCATCAAGCCCATGGCGGTAGACTCAAAGCTTCTGGCGCTGATCGATAATGCATATCATTGTGCCACAGTGTATCATTCGATTCATTACAGTCCCACGTATTTCAAAATATGTGCAACAGCAAACTGTATGATAAACAAACAAAACAAACAACAACAAAAGACACCAAGACTACTTGCTACATAAGAAGCTCAAGCATCTAAGCTAGGTAAAGCAAAAGAGTACATGCAAGCTGAGAAAGGTTCATCATGCTAGATATCTGTGATACATGGGAAGAATCTAACTCAAGTGTCTTTAGATATCCAATACATCAACACAATAAATGTTGTAAACGTTTATCAAGTGTTGATATATTTGATAACTAACGACATGAGAGTGAGATCCTATTTTTCGTCCAAAATCTTACTTCCAAGTTTTCAGTTTTTAAACGGCAAAAATCAGTGTCTTGAGTGTAAAGCATACCAGCTTCATTGGAAGCGATAAGTGATGTCATTTGACTGTGACGTCGCTTTAACTGATGACGTCACAATGGTCTGCAAAGCATTGTGCTGCAATTTCACAGCAGGGAGATATGAAATCTTATCCAACCGTTATCTCCTGTGGAAGCAAGTCTTGGTAGATACAGATTGTTAGTGTGTTAGTCGTTTTAGTGATATTATATATCGAGTACCATAAGATGCAAACACAACTTAGTGAGATGAGATTCTCATAATGGAGGATACCATGGTAACTGCATCCCTTAGATATCCATCCTCATAAAGAACTGAAGTACTATTTCCCTTCCAGATAATTTTGTTTTTGAGCTCTGGCATTAATTGTTAATATCAGTTTTGACAACATGAAAAGCTTTTGAGAATCATTCTGTGACACGCCTGCTGATTTGGGTGACAAAGCTTCATGCAGGGTTGAAGAACAAAGGGAAGTTCTCAACATGACAATGACAGGGTTGTCGTTTCGATACCTTGGTTCGGCCTGCCCTTATCTGTGGATCTCACAATCAGGTTTATACACACATAAAATATGAGGGACTGATTTATAGTTCCATGCAGTCTTTTGGGTGAAGTGGGTAGGGAGGGCAGGGGAGTTCTTTTAAGGAGATCCTCTTTCAATGACCGTTATTTCAAAAATTAAATCTTTGAGGATCCCCATAAAAGTTTACAAAATTCTCAAATTTGATACAAATAACATTTACTTTAATGTCAAGGTTGTAATTAACATTTCATTATCATGATCCAACTTGATATTACAGAATTATTATTAAATTTATTATAAAAATGTTATTTTACGATAAAACATTTTAATCTCACTAAATTATGATGCAATTATATAGAGCAGAAAAATATCCCATCACCAGTGCTTTCAGCTTTACATTGATGCTATACTGACAATAAAATAAACCCATTAACCTTGACGATTTCCCAAAAGAAACTAATGGATTAGAGTGTGTTAAACACCTACCAGTTATATGGTTAATGTCAATACAACAGTGCCGTCGAACAGTGCTACACGCAGACAGAGCACGACGCTGCGGTCGAGCATAGTCCGAGTCGGAACCATTAGGAGAGCGGCGTATAAGCGCACTATGAGAAGATGACCGCTTTGGTCGCTCAGAAGGCTGGCAAATCTCACGAGGTGTGCGGCTACCAAAGCCGAAAACGTGACCACTCCCCCCTTTCCGTCCCCCGAGTTTCCACTGCTCATACCGGGCCACTCGTTCCTGCGCCCTGTAAATGATTTCCTCCCGACGTTGCTGCAGAAAAATACACAAAAATCAATCAAAAACATTTCATCTGTCAAATCGATGGCGCCCAAGTCCAGTGAAGTGAGTGAGTGAGTGAGTGAGTTTAGTTTTACACCGCACTATAGCGGCAGTCTGTAAATAATCGAGTCCGGACCAGACAATCCAGTGATCAACAGCATGAAAATCGATCTGCACAACTGGGAACTGATGACATGTGTCAACCAAATCAGCGAGCCTGACCACTCGATCCCGTTAGCCGCCTCTTACGACAACATAGTCGCGTATTGTGGCAAGCATTGGTTGCTGAAGACCTATTCTACCCCGGATCTTCACGGGTCAGTCCAGTGAAGTAAAAAATGTTTGTTCTAGTAACTCAGCTAAAATTAGTTCCCGTAACACTAAAATCTGCAGAAAATGATACTAAGAGCCTCTCTCTCTCTTTTTCTGTGTATGTGTGCGCGTGTGTATGCATGTGTGTGTGTATGCATGTGTGTATGCATGTGTCTGTGCAAGTGTGTGTTCAGTCAGAGGTCACCAAAAATAACACCTACAAACCTACATCCTAAAATCACACTTGGTTTCAAAATCTAATTTAAAGGCATCAAAACTATGTTCAAATCATCTAAACTAAAAACACTGTAGCTTTAACATAACATCAGTTGTAGGTGTATTATAATGCTACTTCTACTCTTCTCTCAGATTCCTTGAAGTTTCAAACTGATTTGAATATGTACCAGGGGTTGAAATGTTTTTCAAAACTCCACTGGACACAGGTCCAGTAATCTTTCAAAATCCACTTGAGTAAATATTAATTTCACTTGACCACAATTAACAATTTGGTTTTATTTTGTAAGTATTCTTTATCAATTGATAGCAATTGCATTTTTATTTCATCATCAAAATTCATATATCAAAACATTTCAGTAGTTTGGCTCTACTGTACCACAGTAAAGTTTAATGTGGATATTTACTTGACCGACCGGAGAAATCCAATCGACCTGGGCATCGGGCAATGGTATTTTTCAACCCATGTACACATCAATGACTAGGATGACAGACCATGTTTCAGAAATACAGTGTCACTTGACCATTATTAATCAGAAATTGGGGATCAGATATTAAACTGAAATATCAATAACCTGTCAATCTGACGCACTGCATCCTTAAATATAGATATACATGTTGTGTATCTAACATGAAAGAATTGGGCGTTTATTAAGTCCTTTGGAGTAGTGTAGTTTGATAAAAACAAGACCATCCATGATTATTGCTCTGCAGAAGCCCAGTCACCTTCATCCTGATGAACCATACTGAAGCACAGCCACATCTGTGCACAACCCAATGAGTCACGGCTTCAGCGCAGTGTGATATTGACAAGCTAGCAGCTTACTTTTGAAATGCAACACATTTGCCTGTTGCCTGTCTGTCAATACTTGACAAGGTCAAGGTCACTTAGTCAGGTGAGGTGAATTGGGAAGAGAGCTTTTGTATTTGGTGGCAACAGTACTGTACCATTACTTCACAGCTGGTGTGCTCCAGTCAACTGTTTTCGGGTGATGTGAATTGCTTTTTGTATATTGGTCAATAACGATTGATTTCTATTTGTGAAAATGTCTATGTGGCAAGGGAAAAAAAGCATCTGCCTTTCATTGCAGGCAATTGTGAATAATGTACATGTAGATGAACCTTTATATTTCTGTAGCGAAGTGTTCAAGGTAACCATTAACATCAATTAACCTCGCATGGACTGGTGTTTGTGTCAAGTGAGTACAGCTACTACAATACAGGACAACCAGAGGACACCAACTACTACAATACAGGACAACCAGATACAGGACAACCAGAGGACACCCACTACTACAATACAGGACAACCAGGACACCCACTACTACAATACAGGACAACCAGAGGACACCCACTACTACAATGCAGGACAACCAGAGGACACCCACTACTACAATACAGGACAACCAGAGGACACCTACTACTACAATGCAGGACAACCAGAGGACACCCACTACTACAATACAGGACAACCAGAGGACACCCACTACTACAATACAGGACAACCAGAGGACACCCACTACTACAATACAGGACACCCACTACTACAATACAGGACACAGAGGACACCCACTACTACACAGGACACCCACCCACTACTACAATACAGGACAACCAGAGGACACCCACTACTACAATACAGGACAACCAGAGGACACCCACTACTACAATACAGGACAACCAGAGGACACCTACTACTACAATACAGGACAACCAGAGGACACCCACTACAATACAGGACAACCAGAGGACACCCACTACTACAATACAGGACACCCACCTACAATACAGGACACCAGAGGACACCCACTACTACAATACAGGACAACCAGAGGACACCCACTACTACAATACAGGACAACCAGAGGACACCCACTACTACAATACAGGACAACCAGGACACCAGAGGACACTACAATACACAACCAGAGGACACCCACTACTACAATACAGGACAACCAGAGGACACCCACTACTACAATACAGGACAACCAGAGGACACCCACTACTACAATACAGGACAACCAGAGGACACCCACTACTACAATACAGGACAACCAGAGGACACCTACTACTACAATACAGGACAACCAGAGGACACCTACTACTACAATACAGGACAACCAGAGGACACCTACTACTACAATACAATACAGGACAACCAGAGGACACCCACACTACTACAATACAGGACAACCAGAGGACACCTACTACTACAATACAGGACAACCAGAGGACACCCACTACTACAATACAGGACAACCAGAGGACACCTACTACTACAATACAGGACAACCAGAGGACACCTACTACTACAATACAGGACAACCAGAGGACACCTACTACTACAATACAGGACAACCAGAGGACACCCACTACTACAATACAGGACAACCAGAGGACACCCACTACTACAATACAGGACAACCAGAGGACACCTACTACTACAATACAGGACAACCAGAGGACACCTACTACTACAATACAGGACAACCAGAGGACACCCACTACTACAATACAGGACAACCAGAGGACACCTACTACTACAATACAGGACAACCAGAGGACACCCACTACTACAATACAGGACAACCAGAGGACACCTACTACTACAATACAGGACAACCAGAGGACACCTACTACTACAATACAGGACAACCAGAGGACACCCACTACTACAATACAGGACAACCAGAGGACACCTACTACTACAATACAGGACAACCAGAGGACACCCACTACTACAATACAGGACAACCAGAGGACACCTACTACTACAATACAGGACAACCAGAGGACACCTACTACTACAATACAGGACAACCAGAGGACACCTACTACTACAATACAGGACAACCAGAGGACACCCACTACTACAATACAGGACAACCAGAGGACACCCACTACTACAATACAGGACAACCAGAGGACACCCACTACTACAATACAGGACAACCAGAGGACACCTACTACTACATTCAATGACACCCATCAGGATACCTACTACTACAATTATTAGGACAAAGGACACCTGTTACTACAATACAAGACACCTATCAGAGGACACCCACTATCCAACAGGACACCTCATATTACCCTACAATAGATCATCCACATGACACTTGCTACTACTACAATACAGGACACCCATCAACAAGACACCTGCTACTACAATTCAAGACACCAATCAACCACACAGGGACACTTCACTACACCCATGACAACCATAGGATACCTGCTACTACAATTCAGAACATCCATCAACAAGACACCTGCTACTACAATTCAGGACACCCATCATTCACAGGACACCCGCTACTACCCTTCAGGACACCCATCAACCAACAGGATATCTGCTACTACCTTTCAAGACATCCATCAACTGACAGGACACCTGCTACTACCCTACAGGACACCCACATGACCTGACAGGACACCTGCTACTACCTTTCAGGACACCCATCAACCCACAGGACACCTGCTACTACCCTTCAAGACATCCTTCAGGACACCTGCTACTACCTGTTCAGGACACCCATGAACTGACAGGACACCCGCTACTACCCTTCAGGACACCCATCAACCCACAGGACACCTGCTACTACCCTTCAGGACACCCATCAACCCACAGGATATTTACTACTAATTTAGAGGACACCCACTACTAACCTACTGAACACCAGGTACTATATAACAAGATGCCAGCTACTAGCCTACAGGACACATGCTAATACAATACAGAACACCCACCATACTACAAGACACCAACTACTACCCTACAGAATACTGACCAACCTACAGGACACCCCATTACTACACTACAGGACATGCTGCTAGGCAGCCCAGGTACTGCTGGAGGACTCCCATACAGGACACCTACTACTGAACAATATTGTACTACCACAGGTCATCCACTACTAACATTCTGAAAAGCCAACATTCTGAAACAACCATCAACCTACAGGCCAACCTACAGGGCATCTCCTTTCTCGAGCCATCAACCTACAGGGCATCTCCTTTCTCAGTACCTACTACTTGTTTCAACAAGAAACCCACTACCCACAGGGCACCTACAGGGCACCCACTTCTCTGTTACAATACAGGCACCTGCCTACATGCCTGCTACCTCAAGGGCACCTGTCAATCTGCTTCAATACAGGGCACCTACCAACTTGTTACAATAAGGGCACCTGTCAATCTGCTTCAATACAGGGCACCTACCAACTTGTTACAATAAGGGCACCTGTCAATCTGCTTCAATACAGGGCACCTACCAACTTGTTACAATAAGGGCACCTGTCAATCTGCTTCAATACAGGACACCTACCAACTTGTTACAATAAGGGCACCTGTCAATCTGCTTCAATACAGGGCACCTACCAACTTGTTACAATAAGAGCACCTGTCAATCTGCTTCAATACAGGACACCTACCAACTTGCTACAACAGAGACACCTGCCCAGCTGCTGCCATGCAGAGCACTCACTCTTTCAGTGGCTTCTTTCCTCTTTCTCCTCTCCTCAACACCAGCTCTGCGTTCTTCCTCACGCTGACGTGTAGAAGCTCAGCAATTTTACGCCTTCTCATCTCAAGTTGTCTCTCTCTGTTTTCTTGGGCAAGACGTTGTTGTTCCTTAAGCTCTTCAAATTTCTTCCTTCTCTCTTCTGCCATTCTCTCTCGGGCCTGACGTACTCGTTCTTCTCTGTCTTTTTCTTTGTATCTTTTAGCTGCATCTGTAATAATGGTCTGATGATCTTAGATGGATAGGTCACTTCAGTTAGTTGATAACCTTACTGTCAATATGTTCTAAAACAGAAACAACAGGTTCCTACAGCGAAGTGAGTTGGGATGAAAGCCAATTTGAACAGGATTTAGTTACATCACTGTGCCAGGCTCAGTGTGGGAGGAAAGCCATGTTGACTGCAAATCTTAAGACATTTTTCACTTTGAAACCAACAAGCAGGGTTATGGTGCTGATAAACCTAGAACCAGGGTGAATCTGGATTCAAACCCATGATCATAGGTTTTTGGCACGTCCGAGGGACGTAACTCTATATAGTGAATTGCAATTCTTAGAAGACAGTGCTGCCTGATGACCCTAAGTGGCACAAAAAGTGACTTCAATGATATTATAAGGGGAAGCCAACAATAAATACGTGAGAGGCTTGCATGCCTGTACAAGATTTTACAACACTGTTCACAAGTAACATCATAAAGTTTGTATACACCATCTCTGTGTCCCACCCACTCCCTCTATGTCCCATCCACCACCATGTTCCACCCTATGACACATATGTCCCATCATATCCTTCCTTCAAGTTATGGTCACTTGTCCATGTCCCACTCCCTGACCTCCGAACCCCATACCCATCTATGGTTCCATCCAATCCCACTTAATGTCCCAATGCCACCCCCTCCATGTACCACCCTATCCCAAACCATGTTTTATCACCAAACTAAATGCCCCCCCTCCCTCGTCCCACACTATACTCCTCAATGCCCCACCCCAACCTCTTCAATGTTATGTCCAACCATCTCCTTCCATGTCTATTCCATCCTTCCATCTCTGCCCTCCCACCATGTCCCACCTTATACTCCTCCATGTCCCACCCGTGAAGGTCCGGGTTAGAATGAGCCTTCAGTAACCCATGCTTGTGGTAAGAGGCCACTACCGGGATCAGGTGGTCAGGCTCGCTGACTTGGTTGACACATGTCATCGGTTCCCAATTGCGCAGATCGATGCTCATGCCGTTGATCACTGGATTGTCTGGTCCAGATTTGATTATTTACAGAGCACCACCATATAGCTGGAATGTAGCTGAGTGCGGTGTAAAACTAAACTCACTCACTATTCCATGTCCCACATCATACTCTTCCACGCTCTACCCTATACCTATCTATGCCCCATCCTATACCCCTCAATGTTATGTCAACCACCTCCTTCCCTTCTATCCCTTCCATCTCTCCCCTGTCCCATCCCTTCCACCCATCTCTCTCCTGTCCCATCCATCTCTCTCCTGTCCCATCCATCTCTTCCCTGTCCCACCCCTTCCCTTCATGCCCCACCCCCTTGCCTTTTTCCTTATGTAGTGGGCTTCTTGAGCTGGCAGCAGATGTTGGTCTACTGGAGTTGTTTGAGTCCGTGCTTGCTACTCCCCGACACCCCAGAAAGGCGTGTGTCCACTGACTGTGTGTCCGTCCCCGGCCGGGGACTACCTTTGAAGTCTCCAGCGGGCCCCATGCCTTGTGTTTCACTGGGAGGTGTGCCTGCTGTTTTCTTGTCACTCATGTTAGTGACAGGCCCCATGCTCTGCGTTTCACTTGAGGGTGAGCCTATAGGTCTCATGTCACCACCTGGCCCTATGTCATGCAATTCTCTTGAGGGTGAGTCTACTGTTTTCATGTCACCCATGTCTGTGCTGATTTGGGTTGGATCTGGTTCATAGCTCAGGAAAGATCCATCGTCAACTGCTGACACATTTTCTTTCTGTTCTTGTGACAGGTCGTCACTTGTTGAAGAGGAATCCAGGGCGGCATTTAGCAATTCTGAAATGAGATACACAGGATAAGTACACATGACAGTTGCATGTTGGCAGTGTATTTACCACAATGATCTGGTTGAAAAACATGGTCAACTTGGATGGTGAACCTGAGGCATTCCCTGTTGAGAGAGCTGCGGTGAAATGGGGTTTAACATCATATTTAAGAATAGTTCGCTCACATGATGACATTCATGTGCGTGTATGTGTCGCTGCTTGTACTACTAGCCCAGACTAGAGCTGGTTGCTTAGTGCTTGCTCACATGAGTACCCCACTTAGACATATACTGACTCCGAGACAGCCAGTCCTTGTTGTACTCATCAATGCCGAGCGCCAGGCAGGGACCAACAAGTACCATATTATAACGTCTTTTGGTATGACGCGGCCGGGGGCTGGTGAGTGAGTGAGTGAGAGAAAGGGTGAACAAATGAGTTATCATGCTGCATTCAGCAATTGTCCAGCAACATCACAGCAGGGGACACTCGAAATGGTCTTCACAGATTGTATCATGACAGACGACATGAAAAACACCATGACAGATAATGACATAAAATTTATATCATGTTCAGTCACTGTACACTAACTACATGAGAAACCAGTTGTTTTATAACTATAGTGCAGAACACCAGGCAGGGCAACAACGTGTGAAGACCATTTCTAGTGTCCCTGCTGTGATGTGATAATAACTCACTTGTTCACACTCACTCACTCACTCACTCAGTTCAAACCACTGACATTCTGCTCTCGGTACAGATGCACTCTCTTGCATGCATGAGAGAACTCTAAGAGAAACATCCTGCAACAGTTCTTACAATAACAACCAATCAAACTAGAAGAAAAATGGGAACATACCAATATTAGGACATATTTACATTTGATCATCGATAAATCGGTTGGACGAGCTATGCTATTTCTGTTAAACATCACTGCACACCCAACAAACATCATTCTTAGAATCATGGCCACCATTTTGTATCCAGTTACACAACAAAAAGAGCCCCAGAATCAATGCCAATATTTCTGACAGCACTGGCTGACAGAGTTTATCTTGGTGTGATGTTGGACTCTTGGGAGACAACTGTACACGTTCACTTCAACTACCCAGCCACATAATACAGATAAGCAACAGAATTGATTTTCAGAGTCATGACGCCATGTTCTCAACAACAAATCAATATTTCTGCAATAAATCAATACCTTTTACTGAGCCATATTATCAGATTATTACCTCATTATGAATGGACGTCTTTGACTAAGTCATGGTTTAGCCCATGATCCAGATGTACAGATCAATTGTATATTAATAGAGGTCACATGACAATGTCCCTTCTTTGCAGTGTTATGGTCTATTATTAGCTATCAATACAATCTAGAAGAATGTACCCTTCACAAACTGATATCATATTTACTATACTGACACCTATCTTCTAAACACCACTAGTCCAGAGCCACAATTACTGCAAGCAAGACAGCACTGGTCATATCTAAATAGCCTGGAGAAAATTTTGGACTTATACATTATGTAACATAACAAAACAGGAAAACAACTGGTCCCTCTAAATTTTCACACCAGCCTTAGACTTGAGCACTTGTTACCATGTATATTTCTGTAACAAAGTCTTTTTGAGCCAAGTAAGCTAGATTAAAATCAAGCAAAAAGAATAAGTTCTGGCTGGTAGACATGACAGAGGATTCACGAACAGACTGTTACATCATCATAAATAAGCCCAGGGGTAATAAGCCCCGGCTTACATAGGGTCAGCTTATATGGATAGCTATGGCACACTTGATCATTACCTGGACACATCAAGGATCAGTTCCCCAGGACCAATAATGTTCAGAAACAGAGGCATGTGTATTCAACGGGTGTCAGCAGTCTGATTGAACCAGAAGCACTGTACATTCATTGAAAAAAGAGTGCATGAGTGAGTGAGCTGGGTTTGGGCCACACTGAACAGTATTCAAGTTACATTATTGAGTTAGGTTTTACACCACCTTTAGCAATATTCCATCAATATCACTGCAAGGGACACCAGAGATTGGCTTCTCACATTGTGCCCATGTGGGGAATCGAACCTGGACCTTTACGCATGACAAGCGAACGCTTTACCCACTATGCTATCGCACCGCCGCTCAAGTTATATCAAGACACTTCAGCTTATTATGGGTGGGAAGCCTGAAGTGTTGCAAATGTAAGACCTTTACCACTATCTTAAACCCCACAAGAGCCTGGATTCAAACCCACGAACACAAGGTTCCTGCCCAAGGGAGTCAACTCTCGCATTGTGGAATTCAGTTCCTTTACTGGGCCATCAATAACCCTCTTTAAAAAATGATACATGCTAAACTGATGTTTTCTCATAAAATAAAAACAAGCATTGTCACTAAGGTGACATAATCCCCCGAAAAATTATCAAATCAAACTCATAAAGTAATGAAAGTTTAAGATGAAGTTAAATGTCAACAAAAACATGACCAGTCAACCTCTCTTGATATCTTGCTCTTTAGTTGTTCAAACACACACGTTGTCAAGACTGACTTTGACCTTGACATGAATGTCATAGTGTATGAAATATCCACAAATAGTACTAAAGAAATTGCTTATTGAAAAACATTCAAGGGAAGTCTTAAAAGTCTATGAAGAAAATCCAGTGAACCGATCTTGAAATATCTTGCTGCCAATTCAGGTTAACATGCTGAAATCTTCAAAGTGTCTCTGTGACCTTAAAATTAAATTGAATGGGCCCTGCGCCTTCCCTAGATAAATCTTGGTGTCAAATTTGAAGAAAATCCAGTGAACGGTTCTTCAGATAGCTTAACATGCAGGTGTACATGCGGAAATCTTCAAAGTGTCACAATGACCTTGAAAATTATGTGAAGGTCACCAAAATCGACTGGGCGCTGCGCCTTCCCTAGATAAAGCTTGGTATTGAATATGAAAAAAATCCAGTGAACGGTTCTTGAGATAGCTTAACATGCAGGTAAAACGTTAAAGTCCCCTTGTGACCTTGAAATGAAGGTCAAGGTCACCAAACCTGACTTGGACCTTTCTTATACTGTGATCAACCTAGGTACCAAATATGAAAAGAATCTAGAGAACGGTTCTTAAGATATTCCAATTCGTACGTACGGACGGATGGAGCCTAATACTATATCCCCCGTTTCGCGCTAAACACGCTGCGGGGGATAAAAATATCTATTTGTTGCTTGTACCTTTGTCACAGCAAATGCTAAAACATTCTGTTAAAAAATTAGATCATGCAATCCATTGTGAAAAACTATTGGATGTATGGTATAATACAAAACTTTGTACATTGAATAGCATGGTAGTTTACATACAATAACATGTCAAGTCACACCTGATGAAATTTCAAATCTGCATACGCATTACAAGTAGTATACTTCATCCTATCCTGCTCAAGGTATCATGATAACACAACAGCAACCACGACAGAATGTAAGATCTTTTTTATCCACAGAATCAGGTGTGGAAATCTCAAAATATATCTGTTCAGACTTAATCAACAATTTCTCTGAGCAAGTTGAAAGCCTATCCCCGATAAAATCCAGGGGACAAACATGGAACCAATCAATCATGCAGTTGCTGTCATTGCTACCGTTTCCTACATGATCAACTGTCCGCTTGACTGAAAATGCACACGATTTTGATAAAACAACACGCATGAGCTACGAGTACACAAGAACACTGGTACCAGCTGGGACACACAATCAATATAGGTACAATATATTCTAATCTAGATATGCTAGTGACAGACCTATCGCAGTTGCTCTACCATACGAACAGTTGAACAATATTTCAGCTGACCACACAATCAATATAGGTACAATATATTCTAATCCAGATATGCTAGTGAGAGACCTATCACAGTTGATCTACCATACGAACAGTTGAACAATATTTCAGCTGACCACACAATCAATATAGGTACAATATATTCTAATCCAGATATGCTAGTGAGAGACCTATCGCAGTTGCTCTACACTACGAACAGTTGAACAATATTTCAGCTGACCACACAATGACTCACCTTCACATGTTTAAGTAAAAGCAGACATTAGGTCCATGTTCAATACGCTTCTCATACTGAGAGGTTTAGTAATTACTGCGTCTCAGAAGAATTGATTTCTGTATTCACTCTGAATAACCAAAATGACTTTGAAATGACCTCCAACCATGCAAAGGAGGGAGAATTATTTTCAATTTGTAAGTCATTATAGGTGACTGTTAAATGTTCCGTGACGACTGTATACTTTAATGTAAAATATAACCATCCACTGAACCATGTATATTTTTTCTATGAAAGATGTAAAAAAACACACCTGATTGTCGGCAGATTCATATATTTCAACACAAATGCACATCTTGATGAACTGGCCATTAAATCGCCTTGGATATTCCTGGCTCACATCCTGGATATCTTCCCGATACTGTATTGCAGACACAAATCTCCCAATAAAGAGATCAAAACCAACCCCACAAATCATGTTTCACATCCTCAAGTCATCTTTCCAAAACTATGCCCAAAACCACACAACACACCTTACACAACAGAGATTTGCAAATCCTTGCAAAGTGCTGCGTGACAAACGCCAAACTGCTAACCTCCGTTCTGGCATCGCTGCTAGAATGGCATCAAATCACACGATGCAAAGGTGACATTCAGACGACCGATCATCACAAGACGTGACAGCCATCCTGGTCAGTGTAGCGCTAATGGGAGACAAATGATGTTGGTGTCAGAGCACGAAAGGTTATTAAGGTTTTGCGGACAATTGACCCAACATCTCTCTCCTGCAACAATGAAATGATTTCTTTTTGTTTATCAAGCCTTGGATCAATACCACCACACCGACTGACCCGAAGGAACATGGTACTCATAAGCTCGGCAATTTCCTTCAATATTAAGAGCTGAGGCAATCAGCTCACGGACGCCAAGACGTGATACTGCTGGTTTAGAAATACCACCTCAGTGCTTATATTCAAG